AACGGATTTGTCGTTTTTGTCTGCATCAGACCTCTTTCTCAGTTCCTCCATAATGGGGTTCTCGGGGTTGATCTCCATTGTCTTCTTGCTGGACATGTAACCAGCCATGCTGCTATCCCTCAATGCCTGCGCCTTCATGATTCTTTCCATGTTGGCAGTCCAACCGTACTCGCCCGTAACTAAACAGCATGGAGAATCAACCACACGGTCGGAAACCACAACCTTCTCAACCTTGTCGCCCAAGACATCCTTTATAACCTTGCAGAGACCCTCAAACTTTTCCTTCAATGCTTCCTTCTTTTGCTTCTCATCCTCACTCTCGTCGAGTTTCAAACCTTCCTTGGTAGCAGACACGAGTTTCTTTCCTTCGAATTCTTTCAGCTGCCCTATGGCATATTCATCAATTGCATCGACCATATAAAGGACCTCATAGCCCTTCTTCTTCAACTTCTCAAGGAAGGGAGAGTTCTCAACAGATTTCTTACTCTCACCAGTGATGTAATAGATTTCATTCTGACCCTCCTTCATTCTGGTCACATAGTCCTTCAGGCTCGTCATCTCATCACCACTCTTGGTGGAGTGGTAGCGGAGCAATTCAGCAATCTTATTCCTGTTCTGAGAGTCCTCGTGGATACCAAGTTTGAGGTTCTTGGAGAAAGCCTCGTAAAACTTGTTGTAATCTTCCTTGTTCTCGGCTATTTCAAAGATGAGCTCAATGCACTTCTTCACCAAGTTCTTGCGGATAACCTTCAAGATCTTGTTCTGCTGCAACGTTTCTCTCGAGATGTTGAGAGGAAGGTCCTCTGAGTCAACAATACCCTTCACAAAGCTGAGGAACTCGGGAATCAACTCCTCACAGTTGTCCATGATAAAGACACGCCTGACATACAGCTTGATGTTGTTGGGCTTCTTCCTTGTGTCGAAGAGATCAAAAGGAGCTCGCTTGGGAACAAAGAGGACAGCCTTGAACTCAAGTTGTCCCTCAACTGAGAAGTGCTTGACGGCCAAATGCTCTTCCCAGTCATTTGTAAGACTCTTGTAGAAAGCAGCATACTCTTCCTTAGTAATCTCCTCTGGCTTCCTCATCCAAATGGGCTTCTGTTTGTTCACCAAAGACCATTCATGTGAGACCTCCTTAATCTTCTTCTTTTTCTTCTCTTCCTTCTCCATCTCCTCATCAACATCCTCTACTTTACCTTCTTCATCCTTCTTTTCCTCCTCATCCTCGTCATCAGAGATCTCCTTCTCGATGGTCTTCTCAGTCCAGAGAGAAATGGGATAGCTAATGAATTCAGAGTGCTTCTTAATCAAGTCCTTCAGACGGCGCTCTTCGAGATACTCAAGCTGGTCCTCTTTCAAAAAAAGAGTGATCTTAGTACCCCTTCCAAGATTCTCCCCAGAGGTATCTCTGGTGATAGTGAATGAGCCACCAGCTTGGGATTCCCATACATACTGCTCATCATCGTTGTGCTTTGAGGTAACGATAACCTTCTCGGCAACCAAGTAAGCCGAGTAGAAACCAACACCGAACTGTCCAATCATACTAACATCAGCACCAGCAGCCAATGCCTCCATGAATTCCTTCGTCCCAGACCTTGCAATGGTTCCGAGATTGTTCACCAAATCTAATCAACAGAGATAGTCACATTACAAGCCTATTTAAATAAAAACTCTACTACTAAATGGACAAGTAAACACACTTACCAGCCTTGGTCATACCGATACCACTGTCAATGATGGACAGGGTGTTGTTAGTCTTGTCTGGGACAATATGGATGAAGAGCTCGGGCTGAGCATCGAGCTTGCTCTTATCTGTCAAGCTCTCGAATCTAATCTTGTCCAAAGCCTACAGAAAACAAATTTAACATTAAAAAAATTACTAATCATACGTTAAGGCCCATTCATTTGCAACATGTTACACATACATAAATCCAAGAAAGTCCACAAATCCAATCTAAAAACGTACACTTTCATTAAGCTTAAAGAATGAGTCCCTGCCTCACATAACTTCTATGCCTATAAAACCAATCGCTTTCATTCGAACTTAATTAAATACATCAAATTATATTACTAAGAATCTCTCACCAAGTATCCAAAGCAATATATAAATCAAACTGAACAACCAATGAACATAACAATAATTATTAAAAATAATAACACCTGTTATATAAGCCCTAAAATTTCCATCATTTAAATAATCAAACAAAACCCATGAACATCAAATCATTAAATTCCAGAACCACTAACTAATGTATCGAAAATAAAAGCCAACAAAAAAACTCAGAATTATCGATTTCCAAAAGTGAAACAATAAAAACAAAAACAAAGAAAAAGTGGACTTACGTCGGAGGAGTTGCTAATGAGCTCACGAAGAAAGATCTCTTTGTTACTATAGAAGGTGTTAATAATCAAGCTGAGAAGCTGGTTGATCTCAGCTTGAAAAGCAAACGTCTCTGCATCCGCCATTGCTGGATGAACTCTAACCTCCCGATCCAAACAGAAACGACGTCGATTTGGAAAGCTAAGAGTTTGTGATTCGAATGGGGAGAATAACAGAGTAGGCACTGCTTTAGACCGGCGAGGTAAGGAGATGAATATATTGGAGACTTATTAGGGTTTCTAGATTCTTCTATAAACATGCTTTTTCTCTTTAAAATAATTGGATGTAGAAATGGAAATTGTATTTTCATTTTTCTTTTCTTTTTTATACAAAAACTAGTCATTTATTAATAAATAAATTATGTTTTTAATTATTAATTAAAGTTAACTTTATTAAATAAAAATAATTTCATTCATATATTATTTTTTAAATTATTATAGCTTACAAATTATTTACTAAAAGAATAAAATAATATCTTATATCTAGTAACTAGGAAAATAAAATTCTAAGTTCAATATTCATTTTTAGTTTGAAGGAGAATAACTGAGAAATTTGAAGATTTGATTTGGTTAATAATGTCGTAAAAATAAAAGAAGAATTTGTTTAAGAGGGATTAAATTAAAAATTATATGAAAACGTGGAGGATAACTGTGTAATTGTGGATTAAATTAATAGTATTTATAAATAATAAGTTTTTTTGATTAATTAGGGTAATTATAAAATAATATATGTTCAAAGTTTTCTTAGTTAATTGATAATAAATACACCAACATTTCATATGAAATTACTCAAATTCGAGACATCTAATGAAAACAACATTCATTTTTATTATTTAGATCGCTCCATGAACTTATAAATATTAAAAGTTAAATGCATTATTATACTAATTATTAAATACTCACGTTATTCTTTCATTAGAAGTTAGCTTAATAACCAAAATGATACAATATAATTCTTTCATTAAGTGATTTTGAGTATAATCTACTCACGTAATTAATACAATGTAACATTCTTTTAAATTATAATTTAAATCGAACTCATTCAGCGATCTTAGTATTAAAATAAACTTTATTATTCTCCGCCTTCTCAGTGATTTTCTTTGAACACTGATAGTGTTGTGGACATGGCTACAGATCCAAGCTCGATTGGTGGTGTTATCAGCTCTAGTGATGATTCTTGAGTAACCGGCTTCAATAAGTGCATTGGTGTCTCTATTCCTCTCCAAACTGAGCTCCGGGAGATTTTTCTTGGTTTACAGGTTGCATGGGCTAATCAATGACTCGAGTGTCGATGAGAGTCGTTTTACTCTGGTTCGCTCAATTGCCGAGTTAAAAAAGACGCTGTTGGTTTAATTTGTCCTGTATAATTTTCTCCTAACGTAAAATTCTGCATCTATCTCGCTCTTTTAATTAGAAAAAAAAATGTATCGTTCTCCTTGTAAGTTAAAATAGTAACACGTGCAGAGTATGTGTAAGTTAATTGTCAATTACTTAAAAAATATTTATATAAATATTATTTATCTCATCATCATCTCAAATTAATTAGAAATAATATCTTGAATTTTCATAAAAAGGACTGAATAGTCAAATAGATATGATAATTAAATATAGTCGATAATCTACGTTCTACAATGTGTATTAAATTATTTATTTGTTTTATATTATAAATAAATTAAACATTGATTTAAATTATAAATTTAAATAGTAAAAATGAATGATTGAAATAAAAATAAAATTAAAAGATAAAAATATAATTTAGTTTAATGATTTTCGACAAAATATAATTAAAGACCATGACTCGTTAACAAATCTAATACGATTTGTTGATTCAAACAATCTCTTCGAAGATTCATAGCATCCAATCAGATTTTCTCACTCCTGCGAATTTGCAGATTTTCCTGGAAAATTTCAACCAATGTATTTAAATTACAATGGAAACAGACAAACATTACAAATCCTTGCCAACTGCATCGAAACTGCAAACGTTACAAATGCATCGAATGAATGAACGGACAATTGATTTTAAAATCCAATCATGAACGTTAAATCTTCACTAAAATCAAAATTCCAAAATATTTGGCTGATTTCCATTTCCGATCCTTCTTCACAGGGGGAAGGAAGATCATGCAGCAAATTTGTTTCCAAAAGGACGGATTCCAAACACAAAGAGCATGAAATATATATATATATACAAACACACACATGCATACATATATACAAAACAAGAACAAATCATATCAAAGCAAAGCAATGGTGTTTTCAGTTCTTTCTTCTTTGCTGTCATCACTCTTTGTTTTATCATTCATGCAGATTCCTACTTCTGCTATCAAACAGGTTCAACTTTACTAATTCTGGTTTTATCTTTAAATTTCTTTAGATTCGGTTTTTAGTATTGTTTTACCTTTTTGCAGTCTTATATAGTGTACCTGGGAGCACAAACTCATGGTATAAATCCGACGTCGGTTGATCTCGATGCCGTCACGAATTCGCATTATGAATTGCTGGGTTCATTTGTGGGAAGGTGTATAGATTTTTCATGCTGATAAACAGTCTCTGAACTCTGATTTAATGCATTTTCTCAATTGTAATTCAATATATATGTGTTTTGTTGCAGTTCTGAGATGGCTAGAGAGAAAATATTTTACTCGTATACTCGAAACATCAATGGATTTGGTGCTGTTCTAGATGAGAAAGAAGCAGCAGATATAGCAAGTAAGAAGTTCAATCTCATGCATGATGCATGTACTTGTACACGTACGTATGTTTTTGGTCTGATTTTGTAATATATGTATGTATGTATGTTTGGTTTTTGATTAAATGCAGAACATCCGAAAGTCGTGTCGGTTTTCTTGAACAGAGGACGGAAGTTGCATACAACACGATCGTGGGATTTCCTCCGGTTAGAGAGGGATGGAGTTATCCCTACTGATTCTCTTTGGAAAAGGTCAAGTTTTGGTGCAGATGTTGTTATAGGAAATCTTGATACAGGCAAGTTGTATCATACATTCATGCTGTTGACATGTTTTGGTGGTAATGTGATGTTGATCGGTTTTGTTTCTTGAAGGCGTTTGGCCGGAATCGAAGAGCTTTAGTGATGAAGGAATGGAGCAGATTCCATTGAAGTGGCGAGGATCGTGTCACCGTGATACCGATGACGGAGTTGTTTGCAACAGGAAGTTGATCGGGGCGAGGTACTTTAACAAAGGTTATAAGGCTTACCTTGGTGGGAAACTCAATGACACTTTCAAAACAGCACGGGACACCGTCGGCCATGGTTCACACACCCTATCGACAGCCGGAGGCAACTTTGTTGCCGGAGCTAATGTATTCGGTTACGGTAATGGAACTGCAAAAGGAGGATCCCCGGGTGCCCGTGTGGCGGCTTATAAAGTATGCTGGCCCCCTGTCAATGGTCAAGAGTGCTTTGATGCAGACATCATGGCTGGCTTTGATGCTGCGATAAGCGATGGTGTTGATGTGCTTTCTGTGTCATTGGGTGGAGATCCATCCGAATTTTTTGAAGACGGGCTCTCGATCGGAGCTTTCCATGCTGTCATGAACGGCATTTCTGTTGTTTTGTCTGCTGGAAATTCCGGGCCAAGTCCAGGCAGTGTATCGAATATCGCTCCATGGATGTTCACCATTGGTGCTAGCACACTCGATCGGGAGTTCGTAAGTTACGTTGAGCTAGGAAACAGCAAGCAAATCAAGGTGTTCCCTCTATAAAAGACATAAACAACATATATGTTTAACTCATTCCACCATTAAGATGATGTTGTATCCGTTGCTAGGGACAAAGTTTGTCGTCTGCAACCTTGTCACGTAGGACTTCGTATCCATTGATCAGTTCTGAAAAGGCGAAAGCGGCCAATGCATCAGTGGAAGACGCGTATGATTCGCTCACACTCTACTCCTTATTTGTATTCTACATCATCGAATTTTTGCTCGAGAAATCACATTCGGTTCACTTGTATGCATCATGTTTACTGCAGAATCCTGTGTCAGCCTGGATCAATTGATCCCAGAAAGGCCAAGGGGAAGATATTAGTTTGTCTCCGAGGAGGCATCGGAAGAATGGACAAGGGAAAGCAGGCTCTTCTTGCGGGTGCGGTCGGAATGATTCTTGCAAACGATGAGCCAAGCGGCAACCAACTTATAGCAGATGCACACTTTCTGCCTGCAACACACATAAATTACACCGATGGTAGAAATGTGCTTGAATACATCAACTCATCCAAGTAACCCTCTTACTTTCATATCGAATTCCGTTTCCTTTTTCTCGGTAAAAAATATCGAATGCTTCACCCAGGAATCCCACAGCATACATTACTCCGGTGGAGACGGAAACGAGTATAAAACCAGCTCCGTCCATGGCTTCTTTCTCTTCTAGGGGACCTAATATGATCGAGCCATCGATCCTCAAGGTTAGTTTTCAACGACGAACGACCAACTTTTCGGTTTAGCATGTAATGTTTTCTAATTTTTTTTCTAGTATCCATTTCAGCCTGATGCAACTGCACCAGGAGTGAACATCATTGCTGCTTTCTCCGAATCAACCGGGCCGATCGAAGATGAATCCGACAAGCGTAGGGTACCTTTTGCTTTACAATCAGGAACTTCCATGTCATGTCCTCATGTTTCCGGTATCATCGGCCTTCTCAAGAGCCTACACCCCGATTGGAGTGCTGCAGCTATAAAATCCGCGATCATGACCACCGGTATGTCTTCTTTAGAACCGACTAATTAGTTCTAACTCCCGACAACATGTAACTCCGATTCCAATTCGCAGCAAGAACAAGAGACAACACGAAAAAGCCAATGCTCGATTCAAACAACAAGAAAGCAACCCCGTTCGATTATGGTTCGGGGCAGGTGAGACCGAACCGTGCAATGGATCCCGGTCTTGTTTACGACTTAACGACCGAAGATTACTTGAACTTCTTGTGTGCCCGAGGCTACAATCAAACCACCATAAGACTATTTTCGGGCAAGCCATTTGTTTGTCCCAAGTCGTCTAGTGTGATGGACTTAAACTACCCTTCCATTGCAGTTCATGAGCTCAATGGTACGGTGACGGTTAGCAGTACGGTTAAGAACGTCGGTCCTGCAAGGTCGACGTATAAAGCACGTGTCAGGTCACCGGCCGGAGTTATGATCTCGGTTAATCCTTCGATTTTAGAGTTCGAAAAGAATGGTGAAGAGAAGAGGTTCGAAGTGAAAATCGAGTCGAACAGTGATGTACAATCTCAAGAGTATGCATTTGGGGAGTTGCTTTGGTCTGATGGCAAACACAATGTGAGGAGTCCAATCGTGTTCATGTATTAATGTGAAATTGACCTCTATTTTTAATTAAAAAAAAGGGAAATGGTTTAATTCTCTCTCAGTCCCTATATTCTTGACACATTTAAAATTTAATTTTTTTAGCTTTCAAAATTTTAATCACTTTACTCTTTTCATTTAAAATCAAAGTCTATTTGATATCATATTGAGAGAAAAAACGAAGAGCCTAAATTTATGGAATTAAATTAGCAGAGAGTGCAGGTACTAAAAGCAAATTAGACCAAAGAAACCTCCGCAGTGAATTAATTTGCTTAAATTAATGCACTTGGTTGAAGAACAGAATAGAAAGGGGACAACCCACAGATCCAAAATCTCGAAACTAGATAATCTGGATTTCTTCTTTATCAATATGCTTTCTTTCTTGGATTTTCATTCTTATTCTCAAAAGGGTAAAAAAGCAATTGAATTTGGTCTTTTTTATGCTAAAAATCCCCACAAATCAATCGAAATTCAATTTTAAAGCCTCCAAAGGCCCAATCCTTTCCACCTCTTCCCTTTCCTCATTCAGATTTTCAGATTTCTTCTTCTTCTTCACTCAGATCCTTCATTTCTGCCATAAAAAAACAAATACCCAAATCTTATTTTTCTTGTAAAAGAATTCATATAACCCCAAAGATCCTTTGATTGTTTGTTTACCTCTTTGTGTTTTTTCCCCTTCATGTGAGATGGCTTCGACAGGAAACCCGAATCAAGCCATCCCATTCGATGTGCAGAGTTTCTTCAAACCCACGGTTTCTAACCCGTCGAATTCAAACCCTCGGCCGCAAAATCCTTCGCCATCACCGTATCCCACGCCTTCGCCTTATCAATCACCCTCTCCTCCTTTCTTTCACCCGCAGTATCACCAATTCTACATGCCTCCTCCTTCGTCCCCCACCCATTCTAATTACCAAGATGCCAAATCCCTTTCTTTCCCTTCCGCTCCTCTTAGTCCTTACAATGCCGGCAACCAAATTCTCGCCCTTATCAACTCGTCCCCTCAAAACCCTGATTTATCACCTCAGAATCAGCCCCCCAAGCTGAAGCAGCCGCCTCACGCCGAGTTTTCGGGGTCCGGGGGTCCCAATGTGGGGCCTTCGAGGGTGTCGAGCTGTAAATTGCCGAAAGGAAGGCGGTTATCGGGCGCTCGGGTGGCTTACGATATCGATACGAGATTGTCCGGCGAGGTCCAGCCTCAGCTTGAGGTTACTCCCATAACGAAGTACGGGTCTGATCCTCAGCTGATGCTAGGAAGGCAGATTGCTGTTAATAAGTCTTATATTTGTTATGGTTTGAAAGGTGGCAGTATAAGGATTCTTAATTTAAACACTGCTTTGAGGTCTTTGTTTCGGGGGCACACACAGGTTTTTCTCTTTAAACTCATTAACTCTTCTGTTTTTAGTTGTATATATTTGATTGAAATGATTATAGAATATAGAACATAGTTTATGATAAATGGTGAAATAAATGTGCATTTTGAGTTCTGGAATGTCAAGCTTTGGATGATTATGATTATCTATTTGTCCAACTGATATTTTTCTTTTCTCTCAGAGGATCACGGACATGGCTTTCTTTGCTGAGGATGTTCATCTTTTGGCTAGGTATTTGTCTTTAGTACTTGGTAATTTAACTCTTTTTTTCTTTTTTCTTTTTTTGCTTCTTGGTAATAAATATTTCTGCAGTGTGAGTCTAGAGGGAAGGGTATTTGTTTGGAAGATATCTGAAGGTCCGGATGAGGAAGATAAACCACAGATTACTGGGAAGATAGTTATTGCTGTTCAGATATTAGGTGACGAGGAATTCATACATCCGCTTGTTTGTTGGCACAGACACAAACAAGTAATGTAACTTTTTTAATGTTCATCCATATTTAGAGAGGGTTATTGTTACTTTTTTTTTGTTGCCAACAGTATTGCAATCTCATTTTTCAGGAAGTTTTGGTGGCTGCGATTGGTAAACACATTCTGAGAATTGATACTATGAAAGTTGGGAAGAATGAAGTCTACTCAACTGATGCACCTTCACCTCTTCATTGTCCTGTTGATAAGTTGATTGATGGGATTCAGTTGGTTGGTAAACATGATGGAGAAGTTACGGATGTTTCAATGTGTCAATGGATGATTACCCGTTTAGTTTCTGCTTCTACAGATGGCACAGTTTGTATTTTCTCTTATCATTTTGTTATTTTGATTTGTGGATATCTATGTGGTCTTTCTGTTTTTTGTGGCGGTGTAGGCTTGGAACCATCTTTTGGTTTCTTGTTGTTTAGTGCTGAAATTTTATGGTGAATACCTGGATAAATGTGGTTATGTCAAGGATTTTGTATTTACAAGCTTAAGTTATGACACAGATAAAGATATGGGATGACCGCAAGGCAGTGCCACTAGCAGTGTTGAGACCACATGATGGCCAACCTGTTTATTCGGCTACATTCTTAACTGCACCTCACCGGCCGGATCATATTATACTCATAACAGGGGTAATGATTTCCATGCTTTTCTCTGTGTGTTTTTGCCTGTTTGTTATTCACTGACTTGTTGATATAAAGTTCATAGTTGTTTAAATTCTAATGACCTGGTTGATATGGTATTGAAATCTGTGTATTTACCTTTTGACTTCAGTCTATTTTAAATGGAGGTTTATTTAGTTTGTTATGTTTTTAATTTAAGTACTATTTATGGGTTTCTTTTCCATGCGCTAATCTTGTTATTCTGACGAATATCCATATATCTGATTTGTCATATTTTACATTTTTGATAATTTTTTCCAGGGGCCCCTAAACCAAGAAATCAAAGTTTGGACATCAGCAAGTGAAGAAGGTTGGCTACTTCCAAGCAATACTGAAAACTGGACTTGCACCCAGATATTAGACTTTAAGAGCTCTGCTGAACCTCAAATGGAGGACGCATTCTTCAACCAAGTTGTTGCATTATCTCAAGCTGGCCTTTTCTTACTTGCAAATGCTAAAAGAAATGCTATATATGCTGTACACTTAGAATATGGTTCTTGTCCTGCTGCATCACGCATGGATTACATAGCTGAGTTCACCGTCGCTATGCCTATATTAAGTTTTACTGGGACAAGTGATCCTCCTGATGAACATATTGCTAAAATATATTGTGTTCAGACACAGGCTATCCAGCAGTATGCTTTGGAATTATGCCAGTGCATCCCACCACCACTAGAAAATATCAGCTTAGAGAAATCAGATTCAAGTGTTTCGCATGATGTTACCAACACTGATGGTTATGATTCTTTTGATTCATCTGGAAATAAACCTTCTGAGTTACCGCTTTATACTTCAGTCCCCAAACCAAGTAAACCAGTAAGTAGCTCTGAAAATTTAAGTGCACCAAGGTATCCTTCAGCCTCCTATTCTACCACTGAGGTAAATGCAGCACAAGAGTTGAATACTTCGAATATTGATCCTAAATCTGCTTCTGCTTTGGCATTAACAGCAAGTGATGTTGATATCAGTTGCGTTGCATCACCACCAGCAGTTCCTCCTAGTCCTAGGTTGTCTAGGAAGCACTCTGGCTTTCATAACTATGAGCCAACTTCCCAGCTTGTTGACCATGTTGGAAACCAAATGGTTGTGGATTATCCAGTTGACAGACAAATGGACACTGTTCGATCAAATTTGTCTGGTATGCATTCATTAGAAGATGGTTCGAGGAATGACGACAAGAAAATAATATCAGATGAGAAATCTAATGCATATAACCCACCTATCATTTTCAAGCATCCAACTCATCTTGTGACGCCTTCAGAGATACTGATGGCTGCAACATCTTCTGAAACTACTAATGTCAATGAGGGAAAGAGTGAGAGCGAGGTGCACATTCAAGATGTGGTTGTCAATAATGATGCACGCAATGCTGAATTGGAAGTAAAGGTGGTGGGTGAAACAAGATCATCTCAGAACAATGAATTTGGTTCTCATGGTGACTCCCAAAATCAGAATTTCGAAACTAGGGAGAAATATTTCTGCTCTCAGGCTTCAGATCTTGGTATTCAGATGTCAAGGGATAGCTCTGCTATGTCAAGGGATGCTTACGTTGTTGATGAATCTCGGCAAGCAGATGGTGTTGGTGCATCAGATTCGCATGTGAAGCCTAATGCGGGCGAGGAAGAACACAATGATTCCAGAAAAAATCTGTTTGGAAAGATTTTAGAATCAGCCATGCCTTCTACATATCAACAATCTCCGGCACCAGGTGGGAAAGGGAAAAAGCATAAAGGGAAAAATTCACAGGCATCTGCTCACTCTTCTCCTTCTTCAAGTGCTTTCAATTCTGCAGATTCTGCTGCTGAACCAGGAGCAAGTTCCAATCCCCCCGCAACAGTTGCTGCGTTTCCTCAAGTTGCAGCTATGCAAGAGATGCTAAATCAGGTGATTGCTGCATACAGAAATAAAAAAATAAAAAAAATGGTTACACCTGTATGCATCTGTTATATGCACATTTCTTCTGTGTGCGTTAATAGATAAATATGCTGGGAGAATAGTATAGGTAGTTAAGTACATGGAAGTACTATCCTTCATTATCCTCATATAATCTTTTAAGTTTTCGATTGGGTTTATAATCATTGATCGTACCATAATCGTGGATAAAAATCAAGCCAGGTTCCTTTATTCATTTATATGAAAGTTCACCTAGGTAACTCTATGATTATTACGTATTCACCTATTTTTCCCTATATGTATTTTGCATGCCATATTTTATCTTGCTTTTCTAAATAAATGTGGTTCAAAGCTTTTTGCTTCACCATATATGGTGTCTTGATCGTGATTTCTATCATTTTTGCAGCTAATTACTACACAAAAGGAAATGCACAAACAAATGTCCAATATGGTCAACACCCCGGTTACAAAAGAAGGCAAAAGGCTGGAGGCTGCTCTAGGACGGAGCATTGAGAAAGCCCTTAAGGCCAACTCTGAAGCTCTATGGGCTCGATTTCAGGAAGAGAATGAAAAAAATGAGAAGCTGCTTCGAGAACATACACAGCAGATAACGAGCTTGATCACTAATTTTATGAACAAGGATTTGGCAGCAATGTTGGACAAAGTAATCAAGAAGGAGTTAGCTGGAGTTGGACCAACTGTAGTCCGTACCATTACTCCAGCAATAGAGAAAACCATAAATTCAGCAATCAATGAGTCCTTCCAGGTTAGACTTCTGAAAATCTAGTTCTTTTCCGCAAAATCTGTCTTAGTGGAATCTAACTAGTCCCTTGATTGACAGAGAGGGGTTGGAGATAAAGCAGTGAATCAGCTAGAAAAATCTGTTAATTCAAAACTCGAAGCTATAGTTGCCAGGCAAATTCAAGCACAATTTCAAACTTCTGGGAAGCAAGCTCTCCAGGTATATGCACAAGTTCACTGTGCTTGGTGATAGCCGTAGAATGATATTTTCGTTCTCTTGTTATGATATCGAATTACTGTCATTCTGCATCTTCCAGGCAATTTATGGTTATTAATTTATAATATTTTTTTCCCGTTTCAGGATTCTTTGAGGACTAGTGTGGAAGCTCTAGTGGTCCCCGCCTTTGAGATTTCATGCAAAGCCTTGTTTGAGCAAGTAGACGCAGCATTTCACAAAGGGATGGTTGAGCATACCAACGCTGCTCAGCAGCAGTTAGATTCTACAAATTCTTCTTTGACAATTACTTTAAGGGTATATTCCCGGGTCAAATTTACTTACTATTTCACTTGAAGGCTGGTATCGCGTGTTATTTTCCAAGATTTATGACATTTGGAGCATTAGATGTTGAAACTAAGAATTATTGTTGGCGTGTGTGTGGGCTTGTTTTTGGCCATTTGAGGCACAGCATGCATTAGAACATGGAATATTACTTGTTGCTATAGATCTCTTGTAAGATGTGTTTGTTTGTTAATTTACTCCTTTTTTTTTAAGTATAATCTTTTTAATTGCAGGATGCCATAAATTCTGCATCATCAATTGCTAAAACCTTAAGCAGGGAATACGCTGAAGGACAAAGGAAAATTTTAGCACTTGCAGCTGCTGGAGCCAACTCCAATGCCGCGACTTCGTTGGCTTCCCAACTCAGCAATGGACCTTTAGTTTCACTGCATGACAAGGTATATTTGTTTCACCCATTTGCTTTGGTTTCACTGCAAGAAACTGATGCTCCATTATACGTGAATCGCCAGAGTCGAACGTGGCTGTCAAGTATCGCTTTTTTTATAGATGCTTCAGTCAGTTAGTAGCTTAGTTTAATCTTAAGTGAATTTCAATCGGTGCCTCAGGTCATTGTGCCGATGGATCCAACGAAAGAACTATCGAAATTATTATCTGAACACAAATATGAAGAAGCTTTCACAATTGCCCTGCAAAGAAGTGACCTCTCCATAGTTGCTTGGTTATGTTCACAGGTAATCGCTATGGATTCTAACGTGTCTCAAGTTCTTACTCGAAATTGTGGTTAAAAAGTCTGCTGCTTTATCAGAAATTGATACTTTTTCTCGCTTTATTAGGTCGATCTACGTACGATTCTGTCAACCAATCCTTTTCCTTTGAGCCAAGGGGTGCTGCTCTCCCTCTTACAGCAATTGGCATGCGACATCAACAAGGACACGCCACGAAAACTCGCATGGATGGTAGACGTGACCACGGCTATCAACCCTGGAGACCAAATGATTGCAGTTCACGTGCGACCAATCTTTCAGGAAGTCTACAAGAGAGTGCACGAAATAAGTAGCTCTCCGTTGCTTACGGGTGCTGAACACGCGAGTATCCGAGCTCTCATTTATGTCATCAATTATGTTCTAATGACATGTAAATGATGAAAACATGATCATGATTTTGGGGAAGTCGCAATTAAGTCTGTACAAGTTTCTAGTTGTTTTCATGCAAGGAGTAAAGACCCTCTGATTTGTTTGGCATTACAGGACGGATGGTGTCCTGATTTTGTTATCCATCCATGTTTTGAACTGTGCGAATTGTAGTAGTTCTCAAAAGAAGGAAAAAAAGGGGGAAATGGAACAAGAAACGTCGATACATTTAATACCCGACTGAGGCGGCGGGAGGTTGTGCATACAACTGCCGCCGCCTCAGACCAACCCCGACTCATGAAACACATGATAAACTTTGGAGTTTCACATTTCAAATTGTGAAACTTTGGGATTAACGGTTTATTTTTAGCATTTTTATTTAGCTTGCAATGAAAAGATAAAAAGTAGTATTGGTTGTTAAATATTAAATAAATATTAAACAAATACGTTCACGAACGTAAATGAATTGAACACTAGTACTTTAAAAAATAAAAATGCGAATATGATGTTAAAATTCTAAATGATCATAAAACGAACATGAATATATCTTTAAAAATAAATAAACAAGAATAAAAACTTAGGGTAATTTTATCAAGATTTTGAAAATTGACTTTTAAAAGTGTGGTAGAAGAACCAGTTCAAAAGTGTTTAAAATTTAACTATTTGAGAATGTTTTTAAAAAGTGAGTTTGAAAAAAAAAATATTCATTATAGATATTATGTTGTAAATTAAAAATTTAGATTTAAATTATATTTACACTTATTTATACTATGACATATTAAATATATCAATTTAAACCATAATAAAAATATATTTTATAATACTCACTATTAATATTTTAATATATAAACCATGAATTTTATTTACTTTTAAGTCATTAAAATAAATTATTAAGTAAAAAAATATTTTTTAAGATGTTAATATTAAATTATTAAAATAAAATGTAAATACATAATTGAGTGTACCTATGCATTAATAAGATAAAATTATAATTTGCTTCCAAACACATTTAAAAACGAAAAAAGCGAAAGATCCTAGCTAGTTTTTTCTGTTGGTTTGAAACCATCGTTTTCACCTTAATTTTTTTTTCTCATTTTTTACTGTTTGGCATTGATTTAGCGGTCAAAACAAATTTTTAATTAAAATTGCTTTTAGATAGTCATACCAAACGAGGCCTTATAGTTCATATTCGATCTATTTACACCCCAATGTATATTCAAAAAATCTAAATATAACAAAAGGATCAAATAAAGATTTTATATATTTTTTAATTTACTCGAATAATAATCTAATCTTCAAAAACTATTTTCAAATAAGGATCTCATTTGAATAAATTAAACTTATCTTGAAAATCTTAAAGTACTTTTATAAATATTGTGATAAATTCATAAAATTTAATTTTTATAAATATTTTAATATATTGATAAATTTAAATAATTTTAAAAATACATTTAAAATTTTGATATATTTAAATTTATAAAAATAAAAAATATATTTTTTAAAACTGATGTGAATTTTTTTTATTCGAACAATTTTTTTACTCTTGTTTTATTACTTTTACTAATAAAAATATTTATTATTTTTTAAAATAAAAGCAAGTTAATTGCATTCATACATCACAATCTATGACCTCATTTTAAATTGGTCCTTAAACTTTTAAATATTTCAATTTCATCCCTAAACTATGATTATCATTCTAAATTACTCCTCAAACTTTTAACATTTTATTTTTATACCCAAACTATGATCTTCATTCTAAATTGGTCCCTAAACTTTTTTAATATTGCAATTTAATCCTAAATTATATGTGTATTCTAATAACATCCCTTGTTAACAAAATCATTAGACCAAGTTATATTATTACATGTTTGAAAAAAAAAATTTAGGTTAAACTATGGTTGAAATGAATTACATATTTGGATGAATTTAGGGATAAAATTGAAGAAGCAAAAGTTCAGGGACTAATTTAGAATGATATTCGTAGTTTGGGGATAAAATCAAAATGTTCAAAAGTTTAAGGACTAATTTAAAATGAGAGTCATAGTTTTAGTGTAAAAGAATTTATATGATGTAATTAACTCAATGTGTAAAAGTGTGCCGCGTGTCAGAGAATCATTACTACCTTTCTGTGTATTGATTAATTTCAATTTTATAATAAATAACCACACAGAAATCTAAATTCCAAAGCACAAGTTTGTGTTGATCATTAGTTCATAAAATACGCCGCTTCTTCTTCTGCTCCAAGGCCAAGCCAAGGTTCCTCTGTTCTTTTCTCCGTTTTTCTCTATTAAGTTATTTTCTTCCTGTTTTTCTGAGATTAATTTCATCGTTTTTTAGTTATGATTGATGTTTTAATTTACTGTTATTTTTTGTTTGTTTGTTTCTAATCTGATTATGATGGATCAGCGTTTTCTTGTTTTTCTTTTGTATATTATTTTGAAATCAATCAGGTATGTTTATTTTAATCTCTCTTTTTCATTTAATTTAATGCCTCTGTACTTGATTGACTTGCCGCTGCTTCACCGCTCGTTTTACTGTTTGGATTCCTGGAATTTGCTTAGTTGATAGAGCAAAAGGTTCTTAACCTTTTAAGTCGTGTGATCGAATTTTATGGAGGGTATTTTATAATTTGAAAGTCTACTACGAAAGTTGCTCTTACAAGAGACATTAAAAAGTTCCTGGAATTTTTTCTGCCTTTGATAGTTTGTTGAGAATTTCGTGTTAGGTTATTGTTTGCTCGGTTGACTACTAATTAAAAAAGGAATTTTTCTCAGTTGATGATTTAGATATTGATTTTTTTTCAATTTTGATTTTTGCTGCAGTTTTGGCACCCGTCATATTGTTTGGTCGAGACTTTTGAGTGGGTTTTATTGAATCCCATGGCTTCAAAGCGGATTAACAAGGAGTTGAAGGATCTCCAGAAGGACCCCCCTGTATCTTGCAGTGCTGGTTTGTTTTTCCTTTTGTTTTCTCTATTTTCAATTCATTTTCCCCAATTTTCCATCCATAAGAATTTGTGGAATCAATAAAACCCAGTGATTCATGTTCATCTTGCTACAAATTATTTGCCTATTTATTGCTTCACCCATCAAATATTTTTCTTTGATTGTTTAATAAAAAATTATGCTGCTTTCAGTCCTGTTGACAGCAGGTTCAGGGTTTGAAACCATTTTTTGGTCCCAAAAAACATCATCTTATAATTCTCTCTCTATATATATAGCTATAGTTAGGACAAACATAGAATTTTAGACCAGTGCAAAATTACGAAATTTTAAGAGTACAAAATTAGATCATCAATAGAAATTAAAAATAAAATACCAAAACTACACGAGAATATGAAATTTTCAGGTGCGATCACACCCTCTGTCCCTGACCATAACTTTTTTGTGCCATGAAGGTGGCAACTGGTTATTGTTTCGTTTTTTTAATTGTTATTAACATATCCGAAAATCTAACGATGGGCACTGTTGTGGAATAGAGAACAGAGTCTGAGGTGGGTTTGATAGTTGAAAAATATTTGTGAGAAAATGTTTTTTTTATTATTATGTGTTTGATAGTTGTAATTGATTTTTCCAATAATTTGTTTTTTAGTTCTTTTGTATTTTTTGTAAATGGTTTTACCATATAATTTTCCGTAAAATATTTTTTTTAACTTTTAACTTTAGGTATAAGCACTCAAAAAATATTATTTTATACATTTAATATTAAATTAATATTTATATCATTTTAATTAAAATATTAATTATTAAAATATTTAATATAAATATAATATAATTTTAATAATATTATATTAATATATACTCATATATATATTATAATAATATATGATATTATATTTTAAATAAATTATTAATATTTATATATTATTTTATAATATAATATTATTAAATTATTAATAATGAGTAATATTAATTTATATATTTAATATCAATATAATAATTTAGTATTATGTTAATAAAACATTAATAATTAAAATTAAGGGTGTTCAAATGATTAATTCAACCTCCTATTGAATTGAATTGCCATTTACCAAATAAACCAAAAAAAATTTCTTTAATCATTAATCGAATAAAAAAAATTAAAATATTAACAGAACCAAACTTTATTCCTTTTATGTAAATCATTTTCTATAAATTTAATTATCAAACAATTGAAAATGATTTACACAATAACATCAAAACACGGTAAAATAGTTTCCAGAAACTATTTTCTGAAAAATATAATTCATTTTATGTAAAACAATTTTAGGTAATTCATTTTACGTAAAATATTTTTCATATAATTTATTTTACGTAAATTATTTTTCAGAAAATTAATTAAAGTTTATCAAACAGACCCAGACTCTTATTGTTCCTTTTCATTATATTTAATTTAATGTTTTTTTAAATACAGGTCCTGTTGGTGATGATGTGTTCCACTGGCAAGCAACAATCATGGGCCCAGCAGACAGTCCTTTTGCTGGAGGACTCTTTCTTATTGCCATTCACTTCCCCCCAGACTATCCATTCAAGCCTCCCAAGGTATTAAAAAAGTTAACATCAACATCATTTAGGTTTGGGTTGCTGGTGTTTGGGCTAAAAACAGATACATTGTTATAATCACATCCAGAGAGATTTAAACCCTAAATGCATAAAGAGAATATAGAAAAAGGGAGTGATGCTTGGGAGCATAACACAATTAGTTGGTATGCTAAAAATGGACATTGTAAATGGTTTCCATATTTCGACACTGTTTGGTTTTTGCGTCTGAAACTCTGATCTGATCCACCAGGAGTGTAAATGAATACCTTGAACATGTATTAGCAAAAGCGTTTTGTTTATGGTGATTTGTTGCTGTGATCTAATCCATGGGCCTCTGTTTTGTTACTTAAAAGTGTAGTTTATTACCTGCTATATCAGGCTGATTTCGGTTACAGAAGTTGGCATATATATAGGATCCACCTATACTTTTAAACTCATTAGTTTTATACGAATATATAGACAGCAGATGAATCATGACTGAGATTAGAGCAAAATTATCCATTTTTTCTGTGGAAATTGGCAAAGAAAAAGGATAATGTTAATGCACAAAATTTTAATTTCAACCATCCATTAAGATTCATCTAATGGCTGTATATGTATATGTGTGTATTGTATACTACATCAGGAAAACAGGTCGTTGGGGTTATATTCGAGCTGATTGTCTTAATTTACTTGTTAAAATCCAGGTTTCTTTCCGAACAAAGGTTTTCCATCCTAACATCAACAGCAATGGAAGCATCTGTCTTGACATTCTGAAGGAGCAGTGGAGCCCTGCCCTTACCATATCCAAGGTGAGATACACTTAAATGTAATCCGTGTTGTGAAATCTGTATGAATCATAAACCAACATCAGTTTTTATCATCAAATACGATCCAAATCCAAATATAGTCAAGGAATATGCTCACTTCTGTACTTCTGCAGGTGCTTCTGTCAATATGCTCACTTCTCACGGATCCAAATCCCGATGACCCTCTGGTACCTGAGATCGCTCACATGTACAAGACCGATAGAGCCAAATATGAGAGCACTGCCCGCTCGTGGACTCAGAAATATGCAATGAATTAAGGTTTCATTTAACCTCAGGATGCCAGTGTTTGATCCCTATTATTGAATAATAGTAATAACTAGTGTCTGGGTTATCTTCGATTAAGTAGTGGTGTTTAATAAGCTCAAAAGGTGTGTGTTAAGGGTATTTTCCTTTTTACCGAATGAAGCTACTTAAAACTACTTGTACCAAGTTGAACCCGTTTACTTTTATAGTTATAAAATATGATATTTAGAATATCTATGTTATATTCATTTATTTTCTGAGATGTGCTCCGTTTTGTCATTGCCGAAATATGCGACTACTGCATCGAATGCGATCTCCGGCGTAATTTCTGTCAAGAGAGCAGGTGCGGATGACTAGGATGATCCAAAGTGTTGGTAGCGAACCACATTGAAGGCAATCTTGAAGCTGCATCTTCTTGTGTCAAATTTGTAGCTAAATCCATGGTGGTAGTTCCGACAACAATCACAAACGAATGATATATGCCTCGTGCTTTCCGACGACAACCATGAATGATTTGAAAAAAATCACGATCCCTGGTACAGATGCGCCAGAGTCGCAAGTGCACATCTCTAGATGAGCCATATCCCAAAGTCATCAAAATATGATATAAAACGTTCTAATCAAGTCCGTCACTAACCAGTTACCTGAACTTGAACTCCGAAAGGTAACCCTAGTCTTGTTATTCATCCATCACCATCATTCCCATGCAGAGGGGAATTCGAAGTCTGATGATATACCAAGTAGTTCATAACACTCCCTAACTGGAATCATCCTCCAGTCTCGAAGCTCAAGATTGTAAGCTTTGTTCCGGTCAGAATTCCTGCTCCATCCGGCACCTTGGATTTCCGGTGCAAAAGCTACTGATTCTCAGGAACTGTGATGGTTTCATTGACTTCCGCAGTCGAAATCCGGACATGCCTAGACCCTGTTAAGATGCTTAAATCAGAGCTAAATCCTCTGGGGATCTTGCAGTATTGCAGATAGAGCAAAATTGCTAAAGCAGGCACGCTATCTTAAAGGGTTGCATACTTGCAGATGAAGAAATCCATAAATTTCCCAGGAAAGTTACATTTATTAATTTGAAACAAGAGCTCAATCTCAACCCCAAATCTCAATAGTAGAAAAGTAACAAAAATCTCAACCTCAATCTCAGTGAATTGAAAAAACAATGGCAGCCAGAAAGAATCACACACACACAAATTTTCAAAGCAAGGAAGCTCATCAGTGACAATCTGCAATCAAATATATTCCCACAAAGAATATTTGGAAAGAAAAAAGATCACTCTTAGCTCTAATCTGATGCAGCAGGGCGGACCAATCCGGTTGAAACGGCGGCGTCTTCATCAATATAGAGTCCATCGGAATTTCTCAGAAGGGCGTGGGCGCCGCAGATAAGGACGCCAATCACTAACCCTAACGCCAAATTTTCAAACAAGTCGCAAACCCAGACGGCCAACACGGAGAGGAAAGCCAAAGAGAGGAGAACAAAGCGATCGCTGACGCAATGTCCCCAAAGCACGAGCGGATCCTCTCTGAAGAAGTAGAGGAGTAGCCAAAGAGCGAAGACGCCGGAGCAGAAGAAGAGGGAGAGCGGGAAACCGATTAGGGAGAGGGCGGAGGTCGCGGCGATCACGATGGCGTAATTGGCGCGGAAGTAGCGGGAATTGGCGGAGGCGTGGGCGAGGAAGGAGTTGGGAGGGCGGGAGAAGGATTGGGAGCCGGAGCCCAAGAGCTGAGGCCAGGGGCGGAGGTGGCGGGAGAGGGTGGTGGATAGATTGTGGAGGGAACGGGAGATGACGTTAGAGTGAGAGATCGGGATGGTGGTGTACGTGGCGGATGTCGATTGGTGGTGGTTCTCCATCTCGCTATTTTAGACCGCAGTTCTTTGTTTGACTACCGAGGAGAAGAGACGAAAACGAGACGAGACAGAGACGGCGACAACTTGGCGTTCGAAATCAAAGAGGAAAATGTCAGCCTTAGGGATTATAATAAGGTTAAATTGCATGCTTGTGTATTGAACTTTATTTTCTTTATCACTAATTGTATTTTTAATTATTTTAATTTGTTCACTAAATTTTAGATATTTAATTTTTTTGTTCAATCGACCATTACGAAGATGAGGTATTCATGTGGCTTATTTTAATAATAAAATATACCACATAGAACATATAATTAAAAAGATAAATTATATGTTTACCACAAACCTTTACTCTCATTTTACTCACTATACTTTTAATTTTTTTCAAATAATATAACGTCATAATGTCGTTAGAAATTTAACGGTCGAGTGAAAAAAAAAATTAATGTCTAAAGTTCAGTGAACAAATTAAAAAAAAATTAAAAGTACAATGAGTGAAATAAAAGAGAGAGTAAAGTTTAGTGAGTTAATGTGTAATCTACACTTATAATAATGGTAATCGATTTTACTTTAAAGCTTTAAAATTTTAATATCAAATCCAATACAATAATAATATAAGGAAGAACCGAGCAATGGTGAAATGCTCATTCATATATGAGAAAATAAACATGCTTCTATCTTGCTTCCTCACAATTTTACATGTGGTCCCAGAGGCAGCCTACTCATTAGTTGCTGGTATACTGATGTGTTGTTGGATAGGTTCAAACCGGGTTCGATTGACGGCTCCATCTTCGTTTCTCCTTTCGGGAACCCGAATCCCATTTCGTTACTCTGGCGTTGATGAGGCATGTATGGATGAACGGGTAGAATCGGAGGCTTCAGTTGCCCGGGGCCTAACCGGCCCATTGCCAAATTCGCCAAACCTGGTTGATTCATTCTGAAGGAGAAGCCGGGAGAAGGCACCAATTGTTGCCTTTCGGGTAGAGTAAATGGACCGAATGATGTAGGTCTAACCCTGTTATGAAATTGTGATGGCTCTGGCCTGTGGGCATGGGGTTGCACGGAAGAAGCCATGGCGGTTGCTGCTGCGTTGGAAGTAGCGGAATTGGCATGACTGCTGTTATGAGCGGCCGGAACATCGTGATCATGCTTCCCTTCGTACGTAGTGATTACCGATTTAAGGTCATGTGATGCCCTCTCCACATGTTTCATAACCGTGCAGCCTGCACTAGTTCATTTGTAGTAACTCCTGCATCGAAACAATAGTGAGCGATGTTCCACATTATGTCGGCAGCAGTCGATAGCAGTAAACTGCTATATGGACTAGAGAACAAATGAGAGAGATTATATAAGATCGAAAAATGAACGAAGTAAAAAACCTTGGATTTGAATTTCCTTTTACTACTTTCTGGCCATACTTGCGACACCGATATCCATCGTCGAGGATATCCACCTCACTGGTTGTCTGGACCACAACTCTAGGCTCACGAATAGCTCATGCGGCTCCACTCATTTCTGTTACATAAGCTTCGATTTTCCAGGTACAAAAATGAAAACATTCGTATAGTGATCTCAGTAGTATCATTATTCAAACAGTTTGTAAGATGTAAACCTTCTCTTTGACTCGGACTCATCTCCTTCACCATCGTAACCTAAGGAGACACTGCCATGCGTCTCCCAATCATCTTCATCTTCATCATTAGAGAAGAGGGGACCATCTTCATCTTCATCATTAGAGAAAGTAGAGGAGACGTCCACTGCATCACCGGATTCAATGTAAATAGTAGTGTCTGGGGCCTGTTCATTGCCATTCTCGGGAGATATAGTTGCAGAGGATGTCATCTCTATGTTGTCATGTGTCCAATCCTTAGCAGCAGCGACCAGTCCCTTTTGTGCCGTTGCCCAGACGGGATCACCATCTATTCCATTTTGAAGGCCGGTTTGTTCAGGAAGCTTGAGTTGCATGTCACTTAGTAAGTTGGACGATCCGATGGATGAACGGCGGTTGGGTGGAGGCTTGGGATGGTTGTGAGCTCCCTTGTATATGATCTCCGTTATGTGACCTTCGTGGGAATGTTCCACTTTCTTCTTAACTTGACAAGTCGGATGCGTGCACTTATAATAACTACGAGGATACTCGCTTCCTTTAACTTGTTTTTGTCCTAATTTTCTCTAGTTATATTGTTAACTTCCTAAAAATGTTATTTTTAAGGCCTTTTTCATTTAAGTTATTGTTTGTTTAAAAGCTTATCTTAGACATTTTAGGATCATGTAGTTGCATATAGTGTATTTGTGGTGGTTGTGCTATTTTATTTATTAATTATGCTGTTTGAGGGAAATGTGCAGTTTATTTGTGGTGTGCAGGGAATAGCAAGAAAAAATGATTCTTCGGGAAGTAATGTCGCGGCATCACACGTTGCTAAAGCAGATTTTCGGCGCAGAAAAAGACAAAAAAATATTTCTGCATAAGGACAGCTGGTTCTGCATAAGGACAGCTGGCACTGGACAGCTGTCTCTGCACGTGAAGGACTGCTTAACCGCCTGCCAGAGCTGCCAAAGTACCACTGTCACTTGGAAGATAAGGTTCACACCCAACATGTGATTCTAGGGGTATGAGGAGTATTTTGCACCCAACAACCTTATCATTACCCCTAGATATTTTTTATTATATATGACGCCTCATAAGAAAAAAAAGGGAGGAGGACACATACGGTAGCAAAAATCAGATTTTTATTTTTTTTCTTTTCCTTTCTTCTTCCTTGGATATTCCTCCATTGATAAAGCTCCAAGGAGTGGCGAGCTAGGAGCCGAAAGGAGCTAGCGAGCTAGGTGGTTCACGGTGGCCGAGAGGAGACCTCTGGTGGCATGTCGAAGGCTTCTTCTCAACTTCCCTTTTTGCTTCTATTTTATATTTATTTGTGGGTTGTTGGAACAAATATTTTCATGACTTTGTGTTTGGATATTTTGAACCCCACCATGAACTAACTTATTTGGTGGTGGTTGATTTAATGATTGTTTGAACTTTATTTTTAATGGTATATTTAAGTTTATTTTGGTTCTTTATTTGCTTTGCTTATGAATGCTTCACCATCTAGGCTTGTAAGAAGCATGAAAATGTCCATTTCTTAGATGAATGTTAGGTATTCGGAAGAATCCTAGACTAAAATACATGTAAGTATTCGGAAGAAACGCAAGATAAGATCCTCATAAGCAATGGGTTATAGTATTTTCAAGGGACTTTGACCCGGCCTAGGAATATTATAACTTAATCCCTTAGATCTTGGAAGATGCTAAGATAGGATTTCAACGACTAAAAATGGTGTATTTATCAATAGGGTAGGCTGGCCAACATCGTTGAGTGAGAGTAGATGCCTTGGCATCTTATTCTGTTAGGTTCTTTAGAACACTTTAGGAAAGCCTTGTCGAGTAAGTAAAGACCAGTTAGCTTAAATATACTTGAAAAATAAGTTTAGCATCCGTAGATCAATCCCTACCATTCATTCTCTTGGAAGCTTGTCACGTGAGGATTATTTTCTTTTCATTTTATCTTTATTTACTGTTTTTACCATTTTTAATTGCCTTGACATTTCACCATACTCAACATTAAACATCCATCATTGTCATTGCATTTCCATTTGCTATACCATCAGACCATCACTCCATATCCACCAGCATACATATTTACATTACCGTGACATTTGTATATATTAAGACTAACTATACTTAGATAATTTAGTGCATTGCTTTGGTTAGACTTTAGTAATTTCACCCAATTCCTGTGGAGACGAGACGATACTCACTCATTATTATATTACTTGAGCGATTGTGTATACTTGCACATTATTTACGTATAATTTATAGTACTCACAACACGCGAACATATATCTATCCTCATATGGTGCACCCCCGGCTTCTCCGCCGACTCTTTGATCTCCTTCCTCATCTTGTGGCTCATCAAGAGGCCGTGAATGTTCAACACTCCCACCAACAGTATCTTTTTCCATTAACGATCTAGAGAAATCCGCCTGAAGGTTGAACATAGTGCTGTTTTGCGGGTGGAGTTTCCTCGGGTCTACCATTTGAGATGGATGAGAACTCTCGGGCTGAACCGAAGCTTCAGTATTAGAAAAGGACTGCTGTGGAAGACAGGTCGGATTAACCTGCATTCAGAAGGAAATTTGGTCTATCCACCTAAAGAAATAATAATACTCGGTCCGTTCCGATTTCTAATTCAACACAGTCTAATCTAGTATTTAGAACTCGAGGATAATAGAAGTGGGAACAAATGTGAATAAAATTGTGCATTCGGAAGAAAGTCCTTTTTATTCCACAGCTTACTTTACTCATTGCACGGAGGAGAAACGAGGAATTTGAATCCGCGATAGGCTTGAATGCAAACGATGATGCATCGATGTCTTCCAAATAGATATCTTCACTTTTATCATGAGACTTGGGATTGCGGCTCCTGTCATTAACATTAGGAATGAAATGGAATTTTCCAGTGGCGGAGATAAAATGAGAAATTCAAATGCAACATTAACTCCGATAAACAAAAGTAAGCCGGTTCTTAGTCGAATCAATTGATATTCTGATTGCAAACACCTTCAAGTCGATTAAATCCAAACAGAGATTGTTCTGAAATGTTATCTATACCACAGGACAACGGCATACTAAAACTTTCGAGCTAAGCGAAATCACCAACGAATTTGAAACAAAAACCGGTGATTCTAACATTGTCGTAGGGCTGAGGCCAGGAGGTATTGTCAAGTAAGGAGAACGAATGCCGGGGTTAAGTGAAGGATCAGCAAACCTGATGCCTTCAGTATTCAATCTTGTAGCATTAAATCCAGCTCAGGCTGCCATCCTTTCCACCAGACCTCCCCGTGAGCTCGATTTTTGCTCAGAAATCAACCCCGAATGCACAATTTTATTTTAGAGTTCTTCCTCCTCCATCAGCTACTTCCGTTAACCCACTTCAAGGTAAGAAAAAATTTCTTTTAATTTTTGAGCTATTTTAGTAAGATTTTGGAAAAAGGTGTGAAATAGAAAAATGTTCTACATCAAATT